ATCGTTCACCGGGTACCGGGTCGAATTTCATGAGATTTCAAACCGGTTACCGGGTGACCGGTTGCGTGAAAAAAAATGAGAGAAAAAAAAAAATTTTTTTAAAGAGATGGAAACGCTTCTCACGCGTCGCGTGGAGCCCCCGGGGCGTCGCCCGGGTAGCGATCGCTAGTGTGATAGATATATTACATAATAATAAAGTATTTGCTAACTTACGCTTGATTTTTAATTATGTGATTTTTAAATGAAATGATATCTCATTGGTTTGGATAAACGTTACTCGTAAAGCTTTTTATTGTATCTATTTTTTACTACAAAATTTAGCTTTACGATTTGTTCGTTTCGACATGATTTCTGTCACAACGGCATCTGTTGATTCGTATTGAGGAATAAACCATATGATTAAAAGGCGAAGGAAAGTTGTACTTTAATAAGACCTGATATCATCACTTATTTATCGTTTGGTAAATTTGCACATTCGCTAGAAGTAGCCCAAGCTAAAAACTCCCGATTAAATAAGTAAATAATACCTCTTTATTTAGAAGACCTGAAAATATGAGTTAAATCAAATTATTCAATATGGTCTAATAAATAAATTTATCTTTTATAGTATGAATTTATTAGTAATTTATCTTTTAATTGAGGTTATAAGTAGACTTAATTTTGTCCAATGATTTTCATTAACACATTGGTTAAAACGCAAAATCTTACTTGGGAGGGGATTATTTTATAAAAATAATGAAATAATTTTATTGCTTTGCTCTCTGGAAATTTCTACAATTAAATTTTTTCTATTATTACGAGCTTCTCACACACAATATGAAACAGAAATAATCTATACCAACAGAATTTTCGATATAACACTCACTCACTTAAACCATATATATAGGATTCGAATTTAACAAAGTTCCTAATAGAAACTTCTCTGAAATGACATGAGTCTTATAAATTCTGGAGATTAGCAAAAGGTAAAAAAAGTAGAAAATTTTAAATTACCCTTACCTTTACAAATCAGCATTATCTGGCTCGTGAAATAAAGATACATTGAGCCAAAGTTCGTTTATACGCATTGGCGATGATTTACAAGAACTCTTTGATTTTGTACATCATTTTTCTAGATTCAACCCGAAGTTTACATACATTCCTTATATTAATATGATAATTTTTCAGCAAAAGTTTGAATTATTCGTTTTACTTCTTGTTTTACAAGCACTACCTTTATATGGTGGGAGTAAGAATCGAGATTATGAATTCGTTTTTTGGAGAAAACATGACCTCGTCACGACTTTGACGCTAAATACGACGACATACTCATTGATAAATTCGTTGCGCATTGCCTTCATATTTTTAATGCTTACCAAAATATTTCTAAAGGTGCAATCAACACCCAAATATTTAATTAACTGATTGATTAATTATTATTATTTTATACGCGCCAATTCATTCATTATTAAATTTATTCGGACCATGGGTTTCAAAGATCATCTGAATTGGCAGGCATTAAATTATTGTAGCTTAAAAGATCAAAATTATTTGAACGAGTGAGAAATGTCTTGTATAGATGCAATATATCAATTTTAAAGCATTAATTTTTGATAATATTTTTAATATTTATTATTTATGATTAAAACTTGCAACCTATTGCTTAATACACTACATCGAGAGTTTTTAAATTGAATTTAAAAATTTTCATTCTTCATGGTCTAAAAAAGACCTCTATTTAATCTAATATACTCTTCACAGTAATTATTTAAATTTGATAATTTAAATTCCTCATATCTTATTAACCTGTTTTGAATTTGCTCCACATTGCAGAAATTAACCAACCGATCTCTTATAATATTATCTTCTAATATTCCTTTAAGTCTCTCAACATCGTCATAATAATAAGTTATTTCTAAAAGTTGGACTAATAAGTCTAAATAATAAGTTTTATATTCTTGATCTGTTGTGAAGTCTTCTCGGTTACGTAAAACTGAAATTATTGCATCTTCAAAAGATTGCCCATATAACCATTGAAGAAATACTTTGAATGTATCTGGTTTAATGTCCTTAATTGAAACTTTGATTTCTGATGGTATATTTCTAAATTGTGCTGAAGCAGCTATGAAAATATAAAAAAAAATTAAGTAAATAATAATAGTGGAAAAAACATAAAGAGCATAAATAAAAAAAATTATTAAAAAAATCTTTTATCCTACCTGAAAGTACATAATGATTAGCACTAATCCTTTCCTCACCAACAATAAAAGTGACGTCATTACCCTCATCATCCTCATCGCTCACAAGTTTATTTAGTAAACCGTTTAATAATTTGTCTTTTTGATTTTTTTCATCTGGCATGACTAAGCCATCGTATGCTGTTGGATCTACTGGATCAATAGCGCCAGCAAGTTTCAATAAATCCTTGTAAGGCATTAATAAATCTTTGACTTTATATATTCCTCTTTGGACATTATCTGTTGAACAAAATACAAGCTCAGACCCTGCTTTCCAATTATTCATATTAAAAGGATCTGTTCCATTCAAGAATAATTTCTGCTCTTCAATCTTTGATTCGATCATCTTACTATAAATTGGATTTTGTGAACGTTCGTTCATTATGCTGTAAATTGCATTGATCACCTCTATTAACCTAATACCTTCTGAAGCTCCCCAAAGGCTTATATTTTCAATAACAGTAAACCAATGTGCAATAATAACTTCTGTGGATGGAATTCCAAATGACAAAGGAAGCTCAATTTCTTCAGCCAATAACGGGCATTGAGTCCAACATACATCTTTATGTTTCCTAATACAAAGGGATCCTAAAGTTTCAAATCCTGAAGTTATTTCCGGGTTCTTATAGAATTGATCTAAATTCTTTTCCGATGGAACAAATTTGATTTGCAGAATTTTTGCCCATTGTTCATCGTTTAAATTCAAAGTATCGGTATTTTCATATAAATATCGTACTAAATATTTTGCTCGATTTTTAACAGAATCTTCATTATTTTCAATCTGCAATTTAATATCTTGTGCGCATTCAATATATGCATTACAATCTACTCGACTTTTAAGTCCAATTCTTACAAGTGCTCTTAAACAAACAGGATCATTTAGTAATTCTAATGGTAAAAATTTGTCTTTATCTGCAAAAATATTTTGGAATAAAAGTACGTTTATATCATATAATTCATTGGCACTCACAAAAGCACTGAGTGTATTATTTGGTATTACCCTTTTTCCTTTAAAATATTTTTCAATTTCCGGATTTTCTAAACGTAAAACACTCTGCAAGAAAATGAGGTAGACTTTAGTAGGACTTGAAGATTTTGTATAACTTAGTAATAAAGGATCTTTAACATATTCCAATTCATTTATAGAAGCGGCACCTAATCTAACAAGTGCATTGAAATCAGATTCGTGACCACATTTGTAGAAAACAGTATATTCGTTAAAGTTAAAAAATGAAAGTTTAGGTGGATAGAGAGTTCCGGATTTGACATCAATGAACATGTTTTCTTCATCAGAATGTATTGGCCATATTGGTAAAGAACGCAAAATATCCATAAATTGTTCTTGGTTATGTCCATAACCTAAATTAAATAAGGATTAATTACTTACTATTATTATTGTTGTTTTTTAAAAAAAAAATATTTCTTTCACATGCCTAATAAAGTATCAATTTCTTCGTTAATAAATGTTCTAAGCTTTTCATAATCCAAAGGCAACAGATTACTAGTTTCAAAGAACTGTTCCATAGATAAATATGATGAGGAACAGGCTCTCCATAAGGAATTGACTATATTTATAGAGGACCACTGCACACAACTTTTAAGTTTTTCGTTTGTGCTGTCAGGAAATATAATCCTTGTAAAACGAACTTTCAACTCTTTTAATAATGAAAATAAAGGATGTTGATTTTCAGGTAAAATTGGTTGCTTTGGATCAGGTCGAACAAGGATTTTGTAAGGTTCAGTCACTGGTAATAAAGCAAACTTTGAAAGTCTGTTAAATTCTAAATTTCCATTATCTTTAAAAAGAATTGACCATATCTTCTCAAGCCAATTATTATTTGGTATTATATCTCCATTAGGATCCCATTCAACTTTCTCGGAACGTGATAATTCGTGTAACTCATCTGTTAATAGATCGAAAATGGCAGAGGCGTCAAATTTTTTGATTCGTGTATTTTCATAAATCTTTTCATCGTCAATTGGCCAAGAAATCTTTTCGAAATCTTTATCTGATATCATCCTGGATGGGCCGACTTGTGGGAACAAATCTAGATGCTTTTGTTTTCCAATGTAATAAACATTACCAAAAGTTCCAACAGAACCATTGCTTAATGGAATTAATGGTAATCCAGTAAGATTTTCAAAAGAATTAATGTCTTGAAGAATATAATTAAGCAATTCAAGTGATGAATTGTGATCAATAATAATATCGTTATGATTAATCAATCCTTGTAATTCTTTGCAAATTATTTTTCCGCTAAGAGATGTATAAATCAAGTTTTTATTTTCAGATCCAGCTTTCTCGAGTTGTTTAAGTTTGGCATTATCCAATTTAACCGCCTGGATTCCTAGATTGGCCAGTATATCTGCAATAAAATTTCCGCTATCCTCAATGATTCTAGCTGTTTTTAACGAAATGAATTGTCCACCATTAGCTTCAGTCCAGAATATTTTATGCTCATCAATGCCTAGTTTTATGATAACATTTAATCCATAATCTTTGTACAATTCCTTTGTTGAGTTATTATTAATTGGCCAAAAATTATTTAAGGTATGTGGAATGAAATTTATTCCGTTACTTTTATGTCTAAATTTTTCAAGTTCCACAATATGATCAAGCAGTTTAACATGTAACTCAGGCAAAACATTATACAGGATATATCTATTCCATTTTGCATCACCGCTATCACCTTGCAGAATATTGCTTCCTTCACTGGATAAAGAAAAGTCTCCATTTAGGTGGACTCCCAAATTGGTACATATTGGCATATTTATACGAGAAAACATTTCGCCTTTAATTTCAGGAGGATTTGGAAACTATAACACAAAAAATTAATATTTGTAATATATGATGTAATGATAGATTTATATATAATAAAATTTACCGATTCAGCTTTTAGTTCATTCAGAGATTGTTCATTAGATTTAGCAAGCAATGAAGCAATTCCGCCTCTTGGCTTAATTAATAAAATAATGATTACTAAATTTTCATCTAATTAAATTAATTAATAAAACTATTTATTACCTTGAGTCGTTTATCTCTAGAAAATTTTTCAAGTTCGACCGAGTTGGTATTGTCATGTCCTCCTGTACACAATAGCCATATTTCTGAAACTCTGTAGTGGATATTATTAATTTCAATGCCAAATTGGTATATTTGCGCCCTATCCGTTAAAGTTTTACGAATGACGCGATTGCGTTCGGTACCAGAAGTATCCAACATATGATTAATTTGCGCTTGCCATATCATTTGAGGAGCTTCTTTTTGTTCTTCAATACGATACAGACTACAAGATTCTATATATTTCAAAAAGAGAATCTCTTTATTACCTTGAACATTTCTAAATTGTCCCATGATATCTCTAATTTTGAAACTTTCTTCCGAAATTTCACTTTGCCCTGCAAGCCTCAGAGTTCTAAGAGGAAGCCTTAATAATGTTCCCTTAAATTCTTTTAAAAAGTCGCACCCTTCTATAGCTTCAAAAGGGTAGCATTGATCTGGAAGCTTTTCTTTAAAGCCAGTTTCAATAAAATCAAAAATAACAACTTTATTTCTTCTAGGTGACGGAAGAAATTTTGCATTTGGATCCATAAATGCAATATATTTCCCACTTACAATACTTGGTAAATCTGTAATATGAAAAGCACAATCATAACCTCCATGTTCGATCAAGGGTAGAATGTTTGAGTTAGCGTCATTGTATATCCAAATTGCAGGGCCTTGCCAATCCTTCATTTCTTCTGAAAATAAAGATTTTTTAAAAGTATCATGTTCCCTTTCATCTATTATTATTGAAAACCGCGTAGCTTTAGCGTCATCTGCATTCTAATTCAAATAGTACGTGCTTAACTTTAGACATGATACAATTTTTTTCAAAAAATATATTGACAAGTTTCGTTACTTACTTGAATAAATATTTTAAATAATTTGTCTAGCGAATAGTCCTAATAATACCAAGGCAGTTTCAAATTAATATCTAAAATGATTAAAGCATTAAGATTCAAAGATTACCTTAATATTGCTTTTTATTCTGGTCAATAATTCATCTTGTTCAATATGTTCAGAGTTATTACCTAGTGATTTAAATAAATGTGCGAGTACGAATAATTAAAATTTATAAGTCTAGAATAATTTACTGTATGTGTATATAGTTACCAAATATTTCTCGTTTTAAGGTTACAATTTCTAATTCTTTAGCTATTTCCAAAGTTACAAGATGATGAGCAATTAAATGTCTACTTTTTTCATTTTCGTCAATTCTATCTTCCAAATCATTAAATCGAATTTGATACAATTTCACAAGTTTATTTTCAGTACTTGGAACTAATAATTTATTCAGATTTTCCGGATTGCTTCCTTCCTTTAATAAATTGGAAATTTGTTTAAGAATTTGAATGACATTTGTTATCTCGTTTTCTGGAAATTCTCTATCTTCATTATCCATCATCATATTCTTAATAATCAAAATTAAATCCTTGATTCCAACTTCATTTCGAACCCCCATAACATTAAATAAAGTCCTTGCGTAATCCATAGGAAGTTTGGCAAACAAGGAACTTCTAAATTCGTCTGAAAGGTTGAAGAAAACCCTATCGGTTGAATAAAATGTATTTTCGCAAAGAATCCACTGTTTATTTTCCAATTTTTGCTTCATAAAATCGAATTCTCTCCTAAAAGTTTCATCGCTTGATTGACACATTTCATCCATGTATTTATAAATAGCGTTACAAATTGTCTTTATATCCCTTGGTTGTGCTACATCACGACAAAACTCTAATTGTTTTAAAACAATTTTAACGTCAGGATAAAGATTCCATTTCAAATGTTTCAAAAAGTTATTGTTCGTAACTTCATAATCCAGAATTGGAGCAACAAAACAAACTAAAACTTCATCTTTCAAACAATAACAGTCTTTAATTTTTGAAAAGATCTTCTTTCCAGATTTATGAACAGGGATCCATTCTTCATTTAAAATAGCATTCGAAAATGCATTATCATTAGTTATTTGATCCCATTTCTCATCAACATACTTAAAGAGACTAAATGCAATGTTATGAATTAAATCATGATTTCTAGGATTATTGCTCCGCGTTACAATAGTATTAATTCGATTAATGACATCATCTGGAGAAAGAATTCGTTTCATTCCTAATGACCTCAAATTCACGAGAAATTTATTTGAAGTCCCATATTTGCCAACGGGAAAAACGTTCTCGTTTTGGAAAAACAGATCTGCTAGTGCCACTTCTTTCGGATCAAATAGTTCGGTTGGTTTAACTAGCTTTATTCTAGCAGGCATTAGTTGTTGATGTAACATTTCAGATGTACCAACAGGTATAAATGAAATTTCTTTAAGAACGTCTCCCAAGCCATCAAGTAAGGATGGTAATATATCAAAGAGCTTATCAATTACAATATCTCTATCTGTTTGTTGTTGCGATCCGATAAAAGGGATTACGTAATGTCGCCAATATTCACACGATTCTAATCGAGGGATCTTGATTATTTCCTCTAATATATAACGTAAGTATTGTGAACTCGTACTAAGAAATCCTCTCTTATTTTTTGGATAGATAATTTTACCATAAGAATTTTCTTCATTTTGAGGAAGAAGGCTCCACTTTTTATGTCCAGGTAATAATGAAATTGAGGATGTACGGTCAACTTCGGTAAAAATAGGTAAATGCTTAATAACTTCAATAAGGTTCGACTCAAGACTAGGTTGTAAGTTATTGTATAAATATCTAACAAGCGCCAATACTTCTTCATCTTGTAATGATGTGAGACTTAAATTCCTTGGATATGAAGTATCATCGCGGAAAGAATTCAAAACAGATATAATATTATCACAACTGATGACATAAGGTGATATCCTAGATATCCTAACAAAAAAAAATTAGTTCTTCTTTTAAGACACCATATACAAAGTGTTATAATTCAAATATTTACATCTTCAATCTAACCATATCGTCAAATTGACAGTCCACAAAAACAGCATCAAATTTTTCGAAAACAGATTTTAATATATGGTTAATTCGATTAGAAAAAATTTTTTTAGGAGTTTTTAACTTTCTAAGAGTAGAATGGTTTGTCGGGATTAAATGAATATTTTCAAACTTAGTTAATTCCCAGTCTTTATATTTCAGGTAATCCCATAATTTATAAATCCATTCACGAGGTCTTGACATTCGTATCTCTTCAGAATTTACTATTTGTGCAGGATATAATGAGAATTTTATCATGTCGGCAACAGCACATTCATCTAAGATTTTAATATTTAGATTCCATCCTGATTTTGCACCCTCGCATAAAGTATTATACAATACGTAGTCGATGGACTTGTAAATGAACTTGTTCAGTTGGTCGTTAAAGACATCGAATTCATCTCTACGATTTCTATCTGGAACAATATATACGTAAGAACCACTATGCTTCGATAAAGTACCAAATGTATCATCTGCAAGCGGAATCATTTTAAGGCCTTCCAATTCGTCAAATTTTTTGTCCTTCAACACATACTCGAGTAACATTAAAACTTGTTTTCTTAGTATAACTTGCCATCTATCATGATTATGTTTTAAGTAATCACGAATAATAGCCGGTGAAAAACTTTGAAAAGATGCTTTATGTCTAGACAATTTCAAGGCTTCAAACACGTAACAAGATGTCGATATAACAGGGAATCCAATACGATCGATTATTTTAGGCAAATCGTTATATACCTTCTCATCTTCAAAATATCCATTTGAAAGTGATAACCAATGAAATTTGGATTCATCGAATTTAGTGAACTCATATATATTTGACGGAATTCCTTGCATTGTTCCAATGGCAATTGATGAAGAAGGTCCTATGAATACACGATCATCCAAACCTAGATTTTCTATGACATTTCGTAATAAATTCTTGCAAAAAATATTTATGCTACATGAAGTACCATCATGAATTATTGGCCAGAATTTGTAAATATCATCGGGCCTAATATTAGAAACTTTAAGCGGGAGTTCACGAAGAAACTTTACCCAGGCTTTGGGCAAGACTTTTTCAAATAGATATTGATTCCATGAAACCTTCAGACGTGCTAATGCATCATTTGCCTGTAATATTCAATTATTATAACATCTTTTTTTAATTGGTTTACAATCAAAAAAAAAGTAAAATAAAAATAGATTAATTACCAGATCTTCGTTGTCAGCCGCCGACCATAAAGAACGTCGATTAGTACTAACCTGTTAGAAAATTAAAAAATTAGCAAAAGATTATAATAAAAACGTGTCTCCATTTAATTCGACTATTCATACCGCGAAATATCCATGCACAGAAACGGGAAAGGGCATATAAATGGGAAGAGGTAAAAAGCAAAATAACCTTCCTGCAGCCGACAAATCATTTAAAGGAACGGCTAAACCAACGTTGGGGATAAACTTGTAGTCTCTTATGCTTCTATTGAAATTACTTTGAAAATATACTTCAGTTTCGAGCAAGTCATCAAGATAATTCAAAATCAAACATGTCCTTTTCTCTTTAGAATCTCCTTTTTGACGACAAAATGTTGCGATATAAGACGTATATAATTGATTATTTCCATTAAGTTCACCCGAATTTAATGAATTCATCAATGGTCCAACTTTTTTTGCTATCAACCGACGTTTTTCTCGAACTTCATCGGCATTTTCCAATAGAATTGTATATAGTAATTCAGGCTCAGTAGCACCTTTTTTTAATTCAAAAAAAGAAATGCTCTCAATATATTTTAGAAACAATAAGCTATTAATGCTTTTGTTTTCGTAAAATCTCTGAAACATTTCCAAGATTTCGATAGGCTTATAAATTTTCGTAGAGATTTCAGAATCGGTTTCAGTGCGAAGGGGATAACGAAACAAGGTGCCTTTAAATGATTCATTGCACTGGATTCCAAAGGGAGCAAATTGATCAGGATATTCTTCAACCAAATTATTTTTGACAAAGTCGAATTTTTCACCACCATCATAATACCACTCATGTGGATCAAGAATAACGTAATTATTACCGGTAATGAAAGTAGGAGAATCGGTGATATGATAAATTGAATTGAATCCAACACCCATTACTAAATTTATATATATATATTACGTTAGAAATGTGAATTACTAAGATATTAGTAAGCTATATTTACCTCCAATCTTATCAAATTGATCGCTTTTTTCGCTATCAGCCAATTTCAACAAAGACTTAAAATCTCTGTCTTCAAAATATTTATTATTTCTTGCTAATAATGCAGGACCTTGAAATTTTTTCAAGCCCGGTTTAAATAAACTATTTGACGGATAAGTATTATGGTCCAAGATGAAAATTTGCTCAGTACTCTCCGCATCATCGGAATTCTGGAGAATTTCACGAAGAACTTGTGAACCATCAGGATATTCTTCAAGAATTTTACGCAGACGGTGCGTATAAGGTTGATATGGTTTAAAACTCGTTCCAATTGCTGGAGACATCTTTGTTATCAAAGGAATTAATTTTTCAAATTTGATATGTTTAGCAGCAATGAAAATGTAGAATTAAAGGGAGAGTGATCAATTTATAGTTTTAGAAAGTTATACGATAAAATAAGAACTATTAGAAAAAAAAACTCAATTTTATTTAGAGTAAGAATTAATTTAATAAATTTGTTATCAACTAGTCCATAATCTTGTATTAAAAGATGTCATACTTGGGTATCAAAAGCAAAAACTAATTTTACATGCAAAAAATACAATAAATAATTCCCAAAACTGTCCTAGAATATATTTTTGGAGTTTTCCATCTGTAATGTTTTTTTAGTTAAATACACTTTTTGTTATCCGTGTTACAAAGATGACAAAAAATAATAAATAATAAATAAAAAACAGAGACTTAAAATAAATCGATTTCAATTATAGGATAATCATTGAAAATGGTGCATGTGAAATTTTCAAGGTTACGCAAAATACTACCTAATAGAATTTAGTCAAATTGTGTTTATAACTTTAATTTGAATTTCCTAATATGAAGGAAATTATTATGAAATTTTCGATTAAATAAATAAAAGTTTAAATTTTTAGCCGAATGTGATCCTTACAAATTTATATTTGGCTAAAACTTATAATCATCTAATTTTCATTAAATATAAAATTATTGTTAATTATTTAATACAATTATGGTTGCTAATTTCAAATGAGAGCCGCGACTCAGTCGAACGGCTGAGCTGACTGAAAGGGTCTAACGACTGACTGAGCTGACTCCAGAATTTGCCACGGCTGGTTCTACTTTGCGCAGTAATATAAGTCCTTCCAAATATTTTTGAGCTCGATGAAAATTGTGACTCAAGATTTTTAAACAAGAAGCTATTGAAAGTCTAGGAATTATATATTCAAACGATATCAATTTATTTACAATAATTATAGTTTCGCTTCGAATGTTGAAAACATTCAAAAAGCAATTTGAATAGGAAATAAATAACAAAAAACTTACTAATTCGCTCATAAATAACTGATAAAAATTTTATTCCTCAAATATTCAATAAATCCAAAGATTCTATGTTAAATAATTTTATAATGCTAAATTTATAAATTCGCTAAATAATTTATTTGCTCAATTTACCTTATTCTTTGTTAAAATCATCTTGTCTTTAGATAATTTCCCAATAAATAAGGAATTAAAGTTGGTAAGATAGTTATTTAAGAATTATTACAAGAGTATCGATGTTTTTGCAATCCACAAAAGGTATTTAATTAATGTGTTTCCAAGTTTTTAGGAATTTTTCTTTAAAACCATTTTTGCGATTTAATCTTCCCTAAACTTACAAATGCTTTACTATTGAAACTGTAAAGGAATTCTTTTTGTAATGAATTTCCATAAATACTCTTACATTGAATCGTCGGTGACATGCCCAAATAAAGTTAGGAATGAAATAAATGTCAAATAAATTTAATGAAAGAGACAAATCACTAAAATTTCCGAATAAAAAAATTTGACGAAGTTAACCTAACTAATTAAAAATATTCGTATTTTTTTTTTTTTATTTGATATTGATAGACATCCTTGGCAAACTTTGATTTCGATTACAAATTCGGGTAAAAAGACAATTTCCGAGTTACACGGCAATGTATATCAAGATCGTAGATAAAAAAAATGAGTCTGATTACCACTTTAAGAAATTACATACATCACCATACTGTACATCATATTACATTGTGTACCAACACGACTTCAAAACAAAAACAAAAAAATTTCGTCGGCATATAAATTTAGCGCTTATTGAAAATACTGTCGCATCAACAATGCAATAGCAGCGCAATCGAACGCTGCAAATTCCGTTGCAGAAGTTGTTGAATTCGTTAGTGAAACACTTCCAACGTCAACAACAATACCATCAAAATTAGCATTAATTTTATTTCTAAAGATGTTCATTAACTTGTTAAACTTCGTATCGTCAATATTTTTTTAAAATAATTAAAGTACCTTTGTTTGAAAAAAAAATTCCTTCACCGGGGGGGCGATATTTTTTCTTCTTCGTCGATCACCAGATACTATTTTTTTTTTATTATATTTATTTTAATTAATGTATATGATATTAAATGAAAACTGGCGTTATATGAAAATAAGTATAATGTTATAAAAATTAATTTTAGATTATTGCACTGTAAATACCTCAATTTGCACAATTACAAGTGTATTGATAATATTAAATTTCTTTATTAAAATAATAATAAATTACAGTTATATAATTATACCGTGTAGCAACGTAAAAATTTAGTTCGTATAAAAATTAAAAGGAAATTATCGTTATGCAATTCCCGATAATTAGTTATTAATGAAAGAATAAAGGCCCACGGAGTTATGACGCCACACATTTCGTAGAACTTTCGTTATAGGTTACAGGTAATAGTGATTTGAATCTTCACTAACTATATTTTGAGAGAAATTCCATAATGATATATTATTTTTCCAGTTCAGTTAATTCGGAATATGCGAGATTTCAAAGTGACCTATGGTAAAATTAATTCCTATTATCGGACTGCATTATTCCATAATCGACTGAACTAATACTTATTTATTATTAATATATCGCTAAATTTCATAATACCACCGAAATTAATCAATTTCGGAACTTCGGCAGTAATGACCGGGATTTTTTTATATAAGAATTCATGCGATAAGACGAGTAAATTCGACCACGGTGATCGAGAAAGACGTTTATCTTTAATATAGGAAATTCATTTACAATTGTTCCTTTAAATGATCACTTTGCAACTAGGATTTGTATTAATTGGTTGATAATAATAACCTAGGTTACTACTGTCCAATCATTTGGTGCAACTCTATAACAGACAATCTATTGAATCTATTGGATCAAGTTTTTTGCACCAGTGCTATTGAAGAAATTTTGTAGCAAATAGTTAAAATTTTACTTATTCTATCTCGGAATTTGCTTTACTTAGGAAATAAAATAATATGAATTATCACCTTTTTTTTGATAATTTGTCGGAAACTGCTTATAAAATTTCTAATAGGATTTTCATGGTCGTAAAGGTGTGAAAACATTGCAAGAAAAGACTAACAATAATTCACCAAATCCTTAAAATCTAGCAGCATTTTTAATGTTAAAAACTGTACCGTAATTATGCAACTCGGTAACATGCAACTAATTGACTCCTTGTAAAATTTTAATAATTTTTAAAATTAATTGCATACACACCATCATTAAATTTATTTTTTATCAAAAAATATATTCATATCGCACTGGATTTTGATGAAATCATCATTAATAATTTGTAGACCCATTAGTGTTAAATTTATTTTATTTTATTCAAAGTATAAATAAATTTTTTTGTATTAACGTATCAAACCGAGATATTATATTCCAATATTTTAATATTAATTAAAGATGGAACTACAGTGTATAAGAAAGACGCTCACCATTATTAATTCACAACGATGATTAGTACAGTTTGTGGAATTTTTTGCCATTCCTCCACCATAAATTCCTCCAGACACTAAGATCTTTTGGCGTCCGTTTCTCTAGGAACATTGTGCTTGGCATCTGGGTGATCTTATTCAGCGTTCATATTGAATTTCCTTTTATGTAAATCCACCTCATGCCATTAATTTTTGTACTATTTTTAGGCATACTACGAGGTCTTTCCCTTTATATCACAGTATTTCTATCAGTAAATATGACGCTTTTGCTTGTGTATTTATTAAGTACCCAACATTTGCAAGGTGTCTTTCAACAGTTCTGTAAGATACTTCTGTACCTATATTTTCTGCCAAAGTTCTTGTGTAGAATTGAAGTGTCACGCCTTATATGTTGACCAGCTGTCCATTTCCTCCAGCACAATTTTTTAATTTTTTTTTTGTTTCTATAAATTGTTGATAGTGGAATATTCGCGTTGGTTGTCAAACGTGTCCACAGCATAATCGACATTCATAATGAACATGATAAAATCAAATGAGAGCGTTTCCCATTACGATCATATGATTTACTATGCCTGGAAACGTTCCCAAATGTCGATCTTTTTATATTGTGTAACATTCAATGTCAATCAGATGCGATATTTTTTCAAAAAATTTATCGTTACAATTTTTTTTTTTGCATTATTATGTCATTCGTTCTTTTCTTTAAATTTGGGTAAAATGATCTGGTGATCTCTGCTCTAGATGAGGGCCGAAGTTTTAAGAGTATATATATATATTAAAAATATAATTTTACCAGGTTTTTATAAACTCTAAAGCATTTTTAAAGACTATCAATATTTTTCTTCTATTACTTATTTACATTAAAGATTATTTCGTTCTGCAAAACATTTGTGATGAAAAGTATTTCCACATACCTTCTTCTTTATCAAAACATTTAGTTTTTTTAGCTTTGTCTTTACTAAATTGAGTAATGTTTGGATCATTTTTATCGCTTGGACCATTTAATAATATTTAATTTTACTAATAATTATTTATAAAATATAGATTTATTTTAATATGTACTTTTATTTTAATAAAATTTTTAATTTTAAAATGTCTTTAAAACGCCTTTCTTTTATTGGTAAATTATATGACGATCAATTTCGCACGATATTTCAATCCATTAGTTTTTTGCGAAACTTATTTTGTATCAGGTGATACAGATTTAATCTTGGTGAATGAAAATCATTTTTTGTCACACGAAATGTTCTCATTTTTTGTACCACACTGTATATATTAAAATCGATTTTATTATCTTCCTTTTAAAAGATTTTTATATCATTCAAAAGAACCTTTATATAAAAAAAAAAAAAAAAATGACGTGTTATTCCCACATTCAAAAACTGGATTTGGTTTAATTTGGCAAAAAATGTTAAAGGAGAAACCTTGATAATTATAGTTTGTTCCAATGCTTTCGCTCTGACAATCTTGAAATCTACAACCTTATTACCGATATATAAGGAGTTTGCTAGGAAATTCAAGTTTTGGAAATTTTCTGAATAAAATTAAGTTCTTATCTAATATTATCAAAAACTGAAATAAAATAAAAAATCATAAATTTTATTAAAAATTCTTCGGAATCTGATTTCCTAGCAATCTTCCCACATGTCTGATTTACAATCAATAAACAATAAGGAAGTAATATTTATCCCGTTCTTTTCATTCATGCTTATTACAAAATTCATGTATGGTCCTTTAAAGCAACAAATTTCAAACATTTGTCGCGATTTCAGCTAACCAATCACCAATTATAAAGTAATGTATGACGTCGATCGAATGTATACATATTTTTTATCTTTTATTTTATTTAATCATTATTTCAAACATCATGTGCTATAAAAAATTTCCTTTTTTTTTGTCATTCAATGTAATAAATTATTATATCTTAATACAATGTATACCAAGAAGTGGGGTATTACAATGAAAGAAGTAATGGTTCACAAATATTACGCGCGTAAAAGTATAATTTCTAAAATAATGTCATACAAACAAATATTTTATAAATTTGATACTCAACTACTTATAAAAATTAGGTTCTGATTAAAATTGTTATTTTATTTATATTAGATTAAAATGCAATAAGTTCCTAATATAAGTCAGCGACTGAAAGTAACCAATTTGTAAGCAAGCGTCTTCGCTTCAGATTAATTAATTTATTTCTAATGATGATACCGCTTATATAATTAATTTATTTCTTATCATGATACTTAGGTAAGTTAAGTAGGTTAAGTAGATCAATAAAACATATATATATATATATGACAAATCGACCTTTAATCTTAATATCATGAAAGCAATTAAATTTCAAATGCAAATTCCAAGCAATACAACCCTATATCTTGGACCAATTTATGATCAAAATGCACTTGAAGTTTTATCTTCTGATATAAACATTCGAACTAACAGCAATTCTCTATACCGACAACAGAGTAACGCTCAAAATGCAGAAATGATAATTCCAATTCATTCTTTACAATTGGTTTCAACTTATCAGGCATCTCATAATTCTTTGCGTGACCATTTAACAAATTCTCAAGAAGGCATTAATAAAGATAATTGCGCTGTGTTCGGTTCTTATACTAATGCATTTTCAGTAAGTGACTATCAAAATGTGTTCGGTTCTTATACTAGTACATTTTCAGTAAGTGACTTTTCAGGTGACGAAGATTGTGTTCAAGGTAATTTTTCAACGGCATCCTTATAAATGTACGTGATTTATAGAAAATTTACATATCAAATAATTAATGAAATCTTTCATGTATGCCCTACTTTCTTTAAAAAAAATTTTTTTTTTTCATTTATGGGAAAATAAAACGCAGACGTGAAACATTTTAACGAGAAAGCATCTAAATTAAAATGGACCGCAAAAAGCACTAAATCGTTACTTTTATTTTTGAGAAGACATAAAGAAGTACTAAAACATCTAGTAGAAAAACGTGGTGGTAGTGGTAATATTAAAAAAGAGCTATGGACGCGTGCATCAATTACGGTTTCCGATGATGAAGACAAATATCTTCCCGAGCAGTGCGAATTTAAGTGGAAAAATATTAAACAAGCTTACAAGGTAAATTCTTTTCTTTGATACCTATTTGACTATAAATTTATTTGTTATGATTAATTAAATTTAATAATTTAGCATAATCCTCATTATCGGTATAATTCAGAAATTAATGCGATTCTTAAGTAAATTGAGTAAATTGACAGAGCAAGTAAATGAATAATTGTGTGAAATATTTTTGCATGCTATAGCTTATCAATTTTATTATTTTATTTTATACTTACGCGTTATATAATATAACTTTCCTAAATCCAATACACTTTCTATGGTTTTCTATGAAAAAAAAAATTCTTTTTAGTTCAAAAACTTGATACTAATTTTACTATAACTAAATTTATCTATGCGTAAAGAAGATCATTTCGACTTAAATATATCAATGACATTAACAAAAGCAACTACTTGATCCTAAAGAATTTGGAATAGATTCAAAGTATGAAAAAATTTAAAATCCTATGCTTAAAAATTGAACATTTACAAATGTTTTATTTTAGATTCTATGATAATTTTATTTTATATTCATTTTGTAATAATAAAATGCGAAAAGAAATCATATTTCGCAGTTTAATAATTATACTTACTACACCCGTGAAATATCGAAATCCTTTAAAAAAAAAAAAAAGGTATTGTTTTTACCATTTTGATTACTAAATTTTTGAAGATAGTTGGGTTCAGGTATTCGTCGTTGGAAGTGGCCCGCAGCAGTGTTGCCAAATGACCAGTCATAGACCTATGAAAATAGACTACTAATCAGGTCTTTTTGCCAATCATTTTCATCGTATAAAATTCTTTTTTTAAAAAGTTTTCTTTATTATATTCAGTTCTAATTTCATTTCAATAAATAGTATTTTAATTACAAATAATATTTTCACTCTTTTTTTTAAAAAATAATTTTGTAAAAATGCCAACAATACAAAAAAAAAAAAAAAATATTAATAATCATACTGATGGTAAAGAATCACACTGTTAGTGATCCTATTTTGAAATTTTAATGAATATAGGGAAAGCAATCCAATAAATAAACTTTGTATCTGTAAGTATGTAAAAAAATAAAAGGAGATGATGCTTACAAAGTTACTAACACAAAAAAAATATTGTCAACAACATTTAAAGCAATGTATTCATATTCAAACTTCTTTACCTGTAGAAGAAAATGATAAACTACTTTGATGTTAAGTTGGAGTGCATGTATTAATCATGGATTAAAATAGTTAATGATAAATTATATGAGGATGCAATTAATATTGAAATCATATAGCGGAAGATTCAAAAGCAAAATGGGTTTTATTTGACTTATTTACAACTGGTCTCGAAGCTCCATCATTTGTTATGTCAATTGAAATTTAATGTATATATAATAATAATAAATTTTGATGTTTTAAGTATACGATTAAATAATTCTTTTATTTTTATTTTAAAAATTCTATTTTATTTTTTAATATTGATATAAATATACAGAATAATTGTTTTTATAATTTTTTTATCTATCGCACTTGAAATTTATAATAAAAATGACATCATTTTAGGTCAATTTTTATACCTATCACTTTTATGTCCAAAGTATACTCCATTTCCCTACAAAATATATATAAAAAAGAAAATGTAATGATGTTTTTCAAGTCAATGCCGAAAAAAAGCCATCCCCAGAGTCTTTTCCAAGATTTCAAAAGTCCGTTCCCTACAATACGTAAAAAAAGAAACGTTAATACATTTCTTAAAAGTAAATTTTTTAAAAGAACCATCTAGATTTACCTTCCAAGTCGAAATCCGTTTCAAGAAAGTCCGTTCTAAACATAATTCAAAGAAACGTTAGTACGTTCGTTTCTAAAAATAAATTTTTTATCAGATTTTCAGCAACGGCATCGAACGGCATCGGTGAGTGTTTAATTTAAAAAGGATTATTTAAAATAAATAAATAAATAAAATTATTATCTTGTATACAACTGTAATTAAAGCCGATACATATTAATATATTGATCGGTTGTTTTATTTTAACCGTCATCAATTAATTAAAATTTTGTATTGGCAAATTTCTAATTAATTCAAATCACGTGATTATGCAAGGTCGAATGATAAATTATAAATTGACCAAATTGTCTATTGGTCTTCGTATGACCAACACTGGTTCGACACATTTAAAGAATAATTGTTTGAAGAATTCAAGGTGTGTTGAGTTAATGGACGAACTCTTGGGAACGACAAGGATGTAATCGATATAATTAAAAATTCCGAAAGGTAGTTAATCTAATATTGTTCAAAAGGAATATACAGTACATGCGTTATTGAATCAATAACGCATGTACTGTATATTCTATTGAACAGTATTAGATTAGAGGTTGGAACCGGTCTAACTGGTTAATAACCGGTTAAAATATTCTTTAATCAGCTAATTAACCGGTCGGTTAAATATAACTTAGGCCGGAACTATAAATTTGGGCGGAGCTAGCAAAATATTTGTAATCACAAAAATCTTTAATTCTGGCCGAAATTAAAATTTCGGCCCGAGTTAAGATTAACTATTTTAACCGGTTAAAGAAAATCTTTAACGTTAACAAGTTATCTGTTAATTCTATTATCGGGATCAACTTAGAAATTAATATCCTACTTCACCTATCGAAAATTACAAAATGATGCTATGTAAATAGCCGATCATTGTCCAATCATATATTTAAAGCTTAATTTTTTTGTAAAGATTATGCACGATATAAAATAAAAAGAATCGACTTGTTCAAGTTACTTCAAAATTCGCATTAAAAGTGAATAACAAAATTTGCATAAGCATCCAATCATACAAAACCTTAGATCCGATTCTTTAAAGTTCGACCATATAACAATTGAAGGAATACTCGGACGAGCATTTGTTATTGGTATCAAAAATAAATATGAATACCATACAAAAGTTAAATATTTAAAATAAAAACAAATACGTTCCAATTTACCCGAAAGCACATATATTTTAGCACCAATCCTTTCTCTCACTTTACCAGCAGCAAAAGTCACATCATGATATTCATGTAGCAAAGCCTTTTTTTAATAATATGTCTTTTTGATAAGTTTTGTATAATTGTCTAGCATCATGATTATTTCATCGTTTCACAATATATCTTTTAATTCATAAGTTCAATTAATCCTTTTTATGAACATTAAAAATTCAATAAAATTATGCATTCCATACATTTTAATACGATCCTTTAAACCAAATACAAGTTCTTTTCCAGATACAAATTTGTTCATTTTTATTCAATAGAGCTAATGACGGAAGGGCCAAACATAAACTAGCAGGAATTAGCAGAACAATCGCGAGATCGCAATTTAAGCCCAATGGAGGAAAAGAAAGCCATCAGGATAGTACGTGGTAACTTTCGTTAGAGAAACGTTGTGTTCATAGTGGCTTTGATATGAAACATTCAAGTGATGAATGGGGTATTTGTGAAGTTCAATATCAGTTGAGTTGGCGAGTAGAACAGAATGTACATTACATGGGTTGATTAAGAACACAGACGGGTTTCATTAATTGCTCGACCTTTTTTTTTACCCAAGTATATGACAAGAACAACACTTTCATATAAGTTGTTCGAATTATTTAAGCTAGAATGAAGCAAGAAGGAAAATAGAATCATTAATTAATGCACGCCTTCATGTTGGAAGGAAACTTGAAATTTTAAGAGAAATTTATGAAAAGAATTTTTTTACATTCAATTTTTGCACACGATATGTAATATTATTTATACCTTTATAAATAAAAAAAAATTTTTTTTTACCTGATCCACTTATATATATGAACATGAAAACTTTAGACAATAATAAAATAAGAAAGGATCTTTTTTTACTGAAGGAAATTACAAAATAAACCAAGTCCATAAAATTGAACATATGGGAGATTTGCTATTAAAAATGGGTTACGAGGACCTAGAGTTTGGAACCGGTCAAATATCTAAAATTAACTCTGGCCGAAATTTAATTTCGGGCAGAATTAAAATTTTTTTTGCGATTACAAAATTTCGCTAATTTTGCCCAAAATTATAGTGCCGGCCTGAGTTAAATTTAACCGGTTATTAACCGGTTAAGGATTTTTGAGCCGGTTCCAACTTCTATGAGGACAAAAAATGAGATTTTGACTCATATAAAAGTATATTAAATGAACTAAGTTTGGTTAAATTTTTAGAGCTATTAGCTTATTATAAAGCAAGCAATTACATATGTATGTATATATTACGCAATGAAAAGTGATTTATCAAAGGATGAGTCATAATATTGCTTTACACTCAAATTAAAGATCTAACAAAGTAATCAAAAATTCTTTTAATGAAACTTTTAAGTAGATTCTAAGATTCAATTTTATTTATAGCACAACGATTTTTTAAACGAGTTTGCCAAGAAAATTTAATCTTCAAAAAAAATTTATCTTCAAGCGTAGTAATTTTAATACGTTAAAAAGGCTGGACAAATTCTTTTACGCTAATGTTTATATTTATATTTAATCGCGTAATACTATAAAAATTTTGTTTCAAATTTTGAGAAAAAGAAAAAGATACAGGTAAATATTGGATTTTTTTTATGTTTATGATTAATCAGAATCTCCTTTATTTCCTTTTCTTTATTTTTTTTACATTGGGTTTGGCCGCAGCGATAGAACGAATTTTACTTAATTTATGATTCATTATTAATAATTAGAATCCTCTCCAATTAGGAAGTACGTGACATATTTTTTTAATTTTTAAATTTGATCGGTCGTAGTGACCAAAGTACTTTATTTTTTCCGCGCCTTTTTATTCTTTCGAGATGGTCACTTACTGCGTCACTTAAAAAAAGATTTTATTTGGTAGATATGCTTAATTGGTTTTTCTCAAAATATATATATATATATAATACTTACCAATAAATTAAACAAGTTGCCGATTATAATTTCCTACTACTAGCAATTTTAATACTGAATAGGTGGTGTTGCAAGTGACCGTCATGGAGAGAATATAAGCCTAATATTTGTCACTCTCGCGATTTAACTGCGCCCGAATTTGACAGGGGATCGCCCGCGGTAATTGACGATCAATTTGTTGCCATTTCGGACCTTTACGCAAGTTCGGACTCCTCAGGATGATGAAATTTATATGTCAAAATGACCGTTTTTGAAATTAATAAAGAATTAATAAACATTTCCGTCATCCAAGTCTCAAGAATTAGTAATCCTGCCAAAGAATTCCGTAACCAAGCCCTAGAAATATTAGTTCTATTCTCTTCTTTGGGCCTAGCGCCGGCAAAGGCAGTAATAGTTGCATTTATTGTATTATTTGACATTTTATTTAATAAATCGATTTCCCTTTTATTTCTTTCAATAAAAACTTTATATAATTCTTTATTTGATTGATTTACGTACATTGTTCGCTAAATACATTGAATTCAAATAAACTAACTAATATAAATAAATTGCCTCTTTACTGAATTTAAGAGGTGACCTATTCAAGATATTAAAGATTACTACAGGTGATAATAATAAAACCATTTGGAAAGGTTTAAAAATATTAATTGGTTCAGCAATAGCACTTACAGGATATGAAGATGAAGAATTGGTTAAAGATCTGTGATGCGAGACGTCAACGAAGACGTTAACTTTTCAACTAGTTGTATTTATTACCTTTGATGGATTAATGACTGTTTATCTGTTGTCTATATTAAATTGTAAATATTAAAGTTTTGTGTTATTGTGGTTATTGATTAAAAAAAAAATTAATCAAGAATCGAAGTGAATGAGTTGGTTTAATGGGATTCTATCATGGATAATTCCACTACTGTGGATAAATTATTTGTCAAGATATACAACATTTATTCCATCTACATTAGTAAATTTGTTTTTTTAAAAAAAAAATCTTGCGGTTTACTTTTTTTTGCACATCTAATTAAGTTATTCTTTAAATAATTGACAGAATTAATGTATAATATTAAAAGAAGCCACTGTGAACGAATCGATTTACAAATATTAATATGCAATTATCTTTTTTAAAAGGACGTAAATGCTTGTACTTAGCCAGATAATAGTTCAAACTATAACCGTTTATCCTGACACCGCGTAGAGAGAATGCACAAACAAATATAATGGGAGGCATAAATTAAAAATAAAAAAAAATTTTACTTTAATTTTTGTAAAAACTTTTAAACATATATTAGTGCAAAGGTGACAAAAAAAGAAGTGGAGGTAGCCAGTTAAAAACGAAAGGGGAAGGGTAAAAATCCATAATCAATGGTTACGTAGAAAAGGAAGATCAATATTCATTGGTTCGGGCCACTGATTGGGTTTTAATAAAAACCATAGTGGATCAATATCCATCAGCCCTGGATATGATAACGAATAAAGGGAATAAAGGGACAGTTGAAAATGAGGATGGTAAAAGAGAGAGTAGAAAATTAAAGGAGAAAGAAAAATGGAAGGAGTAGAAGGAGATGAAGATGGAGGAAGGAGGGAAAGGAGGAGAATAATAAGTTGTGATATTATGGAGGCGGAATTGGGAAGGAAAAGAGCAGAAGGGACAAGAGGAGGACAAAGGAAGGTGCAGAAATAGGAGAAGAAAGGAAGGAGGAAAGTTCAGATAAGTAGAAGAAATTAAAGAAGAATGCGAAGTAGGAGAGAGAACAGGAAAGGGTAACTGAAGCAGGTTCAGGAATAGGAGAAGGAGAGAAAGTAGGAGAAAATCAGAATAAGTGGAAAAAATTATAGAATTAGGAGAAGTAGGAGAAGTAGGAGAGGGAACGGAAAGGTTGGGAGAGAGTGTATGAAAATACTTGAAGAAGGGGAACTAGTTACAGAAACAATAAGGGAAGAAGAAGAATGTGAAGGAATAAGGTGAAGAACGAGCAAAGGAATAAGATGAAGAAAATGCTGTAGAAGAAGGGAAAGTGTAGAATTTATAGCCGTTGAAGGGGCAGAAGAAGGCTGGAAGAAAGGAAGTTGAAACAAAGCGTCGCCTTACACAAAATAGTAAGGTGATACCTTGAATGCGCACCTGTCATGTTCTTTTGAGTCATCGTTTAAAGGTTCCTTAATGTAATTTATTTATTTGCTTTAATCCTTTTTAAAAAATTTTTTAAAAAAAAATGATACCTACCAAATCTTTATTTTCCAAAGAAACAAAATTGGCCATCGACGATCATTAACTAAGATTTTCGTAACGTAATACAAATAAATATACAAAATTTTTTTTTTTACAAAAATCATAAAATAAAAATAGATTTAGAGTTGCGTTTAATTAAGTTTTAAGTTTTGTTTATATAATAATAAACGTGATAAAATTTACTATAACAAACATTCTGAAATTTTATTTCTTTGAATGGATTGATAAAGTGAAATAAATTATTACGATATTATTATTTTAACAAAATTTCGCTAGTTCTGTCCAAGTTGAACTTAGTTAATATTAGCCGGTAAATTAATCATTTAGCAAAATATTTTAACCAACCATTTAAGGAACTTACTTTATATTCATTTATCCGAAAATTTAGTGACTTAATATTCTTAGGGTAAGGAAAACCTATTTTTCATGCATAACTATTATAAAAAGATTCGCGTTGTGAAATTTTTTAATTTTCGTCCGCTTAAACTTTTGCAGGCTGATCAAAGGTAACACTATTAATTTTAAGATGAGTCTTTATCATCCAAAAAACGTTATACCTTACATGTATATTCTGATTCATCATTTGTCAGAATTTATGAAATAGCATCAGAAGTTTGGATTAAATGCTTTTTCTATACTTCTATAGAGAAAAAACTGAATTTTTTTGAAAAACAATGAAAGATGATAAGAAGAAAGTAGAAAGAAAATTAGCTATTTTTGAAATTTTATATTATAAGAATTGATTAATATATTTTGTTCAAGAAAATACTGTAAAAAAATATCTTAAACTACAACATATTCATATTAAAAATTAATTTTTCTATTCACTTTATTTTATATAATGATTAGAATTTACATAATAAACATCTTTTCATCTATTTTCAGTAAGATCTTCAATACTATTTCTAATGAATACTTATTTACAATCTATTTTAATGAATATTTATTTACAATTTTTAAATGAATACATATCTAAATAATCTGCCTCTCTTTAAACCCAATTTATTTTGTAATTTCCTTTTTAATAAAAGATCCCAATCCTATTTTTTTTTAAAAAAAACCCAATCCTTTTTTTAACATTATATACTTACTGATAATAAAATTTGTTATATATAAAACTCAAATAAATATACCCTATTATCCTTCACATTTTTATTTTTTTTATATTTCCATTCAACTGTTTATTTAGATAATCTAGATTTCTTTAACTGATTTTTTGGAATCTGTTTTCCATTTTGATCAAATATACTTTCTTGATAAGCTTTTATTTCAACTCATACATCAAATAATACAACAAATGTTTGTTGATTATTTCAAAAAATTTGTACCTCCAATTTGAATTACTAAATAAATTATATATTTGTGAATATACATCTAATCCTTAAAAAAAGCATTTATAACCACCAAAATGATAATTATAATAATAAATAAAATCTTTAAAGATACCAAAAAAACAAACTTTTCAAATAGTAAAAAGAAATATTTTATTTATTTGAGCCAGAAAAAATATTCCTTTAATTTGTTCTGTATAATATGAATAAAATATGCTTTAAATTCAGTTATTGCTTCTGAAGGCAATATATATAATCCTTTATATTGTATATTATATTTTGTATAGTCGTATTATAATGAGTTTAAACCAGTTTTAATCTTATATGAAACTTTACAAATTGCATATTTATAATACTACAAAATGAAAGGTGATAAAAAAAATGAAGTGAGAATAGAATTTGTTTGATAGAAGTTTTGAGAAAAGAAATTGACAAAGGTGAATATATTGTGTATATATTTAATGAAAATTTTAGTAATTTAAATATTTTTACTCATTAAAAACACTTAATCAAAGAATAGAATGATTGTATAAATATTAGTACGTGTTAAAATAATTGGTTAAATTAAAATAAAATCAAATTTTATCATACATTTAGAATGGCTTTGCATCAGCTAATAAATCAGGTTTCAAATCTGCAGCAGAAATCAATTGATTAATAATCTTAAAAATAGCACAATTTTAATGATACATACATGTGTACATTATTTTTTATCAGTTATTATAATTTTGGTAAAAAAATCTAAACCAGTATTTATATTATTTTTTAATCAGTTATTATAATTCTGGTAAAAAATCTATTGGTAAAATTTTGTAAATCAATATAGACATATTTGGGGATTCTAATGCAAATTCCAAATCCGCCTACGAACCCAGTTTGCTATATGATTTCCAATATCAAATTCAAAGCTCTAGCGCTTTTTTGACTCAAATATAGATAA